AGGATGCTGAATTAGATGAAGTAGTAGCGAGTTATCGAACTCTTCTAATAGGACATCATCGTCTAGTGGGGCATTAACCCTTCTAATCACTCTCGATCATCATCACCAACAGGGCAGCAGCAGCAGCAGGAGTAGTAGTAGAAGACAATAATGTACAGCAATAACAGCAGTAGTGGTGTGTCTACTTACTATACTGTGTTTTACTATTGTATTATTCATCCTCTTTCCTATGTTACTAATCCTCATAATCTGTCGATAATAAGAGTAATATTATACAATTATTAGATATTGAGTTGTTGGATAGTTGGGGTATGTATAGTAGATATCAATACACTTAATGGTTGATCATACCATACCTTGCCATTATAAGGGTCCATCTACCACCCTAGAACAGGTTGGGAAGATGACGACGACAACGACGACATTCAAGGTGGTCCCTGAGGTGGAGGCTGACACTTATGATAATACCAAACACTCTTTTTGGAAGGATTACGTCGCCCAAAGTAGTAGTAGTAGTAGTAGTAGTAGTAGTAGTAGTAGTAGTAGTAGTAGTAGTAGTAGGAGTAGTAGTAATAGTAATAGTAATAGTAGTAGTAGTAGTTGTTGTTGTTGTTAGGGAAGCCTTGTGTAATACGTGGTGGTAGTAAGGATTACATCAAACGTATGAGTAATGATAATATGATTAGAGTAGCTGGGGAGGATATGGTAACAGCTGAGGAGAGGAAAGGTAGGTGATAGTAGAAGGCGAATGATTATGATGATGATGTTGACTTATTAGATATGTCGGAGGGTTTTGGTAAGACCGATTGGAATGATGATAAAAGGCTTCATATCCCTTTTAAGGATTTCATCAATAAAGTAACTACTGGTAAAGTGTATATGACTACACAAGATATACCTTTATCTGAGTATGATGGTGGTCCTATAAAGAGGATGGGTACACATATACAGAAACTTATAGATAACAAACTGGTAATAATAATAATAGGATCTGTGATGACACTGATGATACATGATATTGTCGATAATGGTATTGTTGGTAGTAGTAGATACCTAAGAATCCAAGTATATTAGAGGATACTGGTCTAACACAATATCAGGTTAATATGTGGTTTGGCGATGCTAAAGATGGTAGTACTACAGGTTTACATCATGATTATCATGATAATGTATATATGTTATTAAGGGGTAGGAAGATATTCCGTATATACAGTCCAGATGCTATTACACAAGGGTTAAATACGAATGGTGTAATAGATGGTATTAATAATAATAATACAGTAGTGGTATTGTCTAATGGTCTAATATGCTATGATTGCCATAAGCTGATGATGACGACGACGACGAGCTCTTGTAGTAAAGGGGGATATAGTGTTAGGGAGGATGGAGCCAGAGTGGAGGATGTGGTAAGTTGTTGATGGTGTGGGAATATTAAGGATGATGAGGAATAGTAGGTACGGCATAGACTATTACGTGGAAGTAGGGACAATGGAGAGGAAGAGGAAGAGGAGGAGGAGGAAGAGGAGGCACAGCTTGATAAGCTACTCGATATTGCTATTGCTGAGGGGAATTTCGATGATGATGATGAGGAGGAAGAGGAGGAAGAGGGACCAGAGGGTAAGAAAAGGAAGGTGGTGATGGAGGAGGAGGAGGAGCTCAAGAATCAAGGACCATCCCACTTCTGTAATACTACTATCATCACTATCGATGATACTGGTGATATTATGTATTGTATACAAGGTATCCATAATACTACTAGTAATAGTAGTAGTGGCAAAATCCATGGAGAATACGTTGAAGTAGAGTTACTACCAGGAGATATGCTATACCTACCAGCTAGTTACTTTCATGAGGTTATATCATACTCCTCTACACAAGGAGAAGAAGAAAAAGAAGAAGAAGGAGGTGGACATCTTGCAGTTAACTATTGGTAGTAGTCATCCTCGTCATCCTCTTCTATGGTGATAGTAATACTGTATAGGTATCATCCCCCAGTGTATGGAGGTACTTATGATAAACCATATGTTGATAATTACTGGTCTGAGAGATGGGATACTATCCTATCAGCTTAAACCACCTTATCATTAGTTACTTTCGTTGGTCCTCTCTTAACCGCCGTCATGACTTGTGTTAATTATAGCTGAAACTGGTAGAGGTGATAGTAGTAGTAGTACTAGGAATTGTTGAAGGTGTTCAACCTACGACGCCATAGGTGTTCAACTGCTGCTGTAATACATCCATTCTTGAGGATATTCGATATTCAATTCATGGGAATAGTACTACTCATATCATCTTCTCCCCTCCTACCACCATGTTATTAATATAAATCAATACTATAATTATTATCGTGATAATGGGAAACATAAGTAGATACGGTAAGATTAAAGTATATGTCCACCAATAAGGGAGTACTCCCCCCCTCTACCCTCCCGATAAGATTAAAGTATATGTCCACCAATAAGGGAGTATTCCCCCCCTCTACCCTCCCGATAAGATTAAAGTATATGTCCACCAATAAGGGAGTACTCCCCCCTCTACCCTCCCGATAAGATTAAAGTATATGTCCACCAATAAGGGAGTACTCCCCCCCTCTACCCTCCCGATAAGATTAAAGTATATGTCCACCAATAAGGGAGTACTCCCCCCCCTCTACCCTCCGACTGCTCCAACCACTACTATCCTCTACAATGGTTAATAACACAAACCCTATAATAATAATGCTGGAAAATGACGTAGTTAGCCACGATATACAATATATCATATTCTTCTGGCATCTTGTTGTTGTTAATACTGATCAAAAAAATACCAATCGATGATACATGGGAGTACGACAACCTCCACGGCTAGCAACGGTGAGGGGATGTCCAAAATGGGAGGTACATGGTTACCATCCTACATCATCATCATCATCAGCAGAAGAGGAGGAAGTAGAGTAGATCGTAGCAGGTAGGACCTACCTGGTAGGTACACCCAATTAATAATAATAAGGCTAGGCTAATGTAACAATGATAAAATATAATGTGATGATGATATCAGAGGCACAACTTCGATGATGATTGTGGTGATTCTCAACATGCATTCATCATACCGATAACATCTACACCATCTGAAGAGAAGAAATATTTCTCATTGCAAGTGGGAGAATCAAAATGTACCACGGAGGAGATTCGATCTTGCGCCCTCGAGAATGTGAATCACGAACTCTACCTCTACACCAAATTGGATGATTAACTGTACACTCCCTACATCATCCATCGAGTTATTGAGCATCGATGAGTACGCATGATCAGTGGAAGTTACCGTGTATGGTTGTTCAGGCTTAGAGATCTTCATCGTTACTTGTACTCATGATGAAAGACTACAATAAAGACTACATAATGACGATGCTTGCTAAGGGGTAGGTACTACTGCTAGGATGTCATAACCTCAATACGATACTACTCCACCTCCTCTCTTTTCCTCTTGTTGTTGTACTGCAGATTAGCTGTTAAACTGGTCCTTTCCCCCAACCGTGGTACTACTTCTACTACTAGAGGTACTATTCGCTCTGATATCACTACCAGTGATTTGGTAGATTCAGATCATATTGATGAGATCAACGATAAGGAGGATGATGAGAATCAATATAATGATGATGATGATAACTACAAGACAGTAGTAGTATGTACGTACTTCTTCTTCTTAGTATTACTACATCCCATCACTGATATGAATAGGTTGTACAGGATGTATCACACCTAAGCATGATGCTCTGGTATTTGAACCTCTCCAACATCCAACTACTCCATACAACTATAACAACTCATCTCCTCGACGCCAGCAACAGCAGCAGCTACTTACTACTACATCATCATCATCGTCATCGTCGAGTGGCCTCATCATCATACCTCTCAGTGTTATTGATAATGTATTATATTATCATGATGATGATGATGACAGTGTAGCAGGAGTAGTACTGGTAATAATGATAGTACTACTATGTTCAGCTGTAGAACATCCGAGGTGATCAGGAAGTATCAGGGTATGATGAT